CGTGGATCTAAGACAACCTTGGTGGTGGCCCCAGTGCATGTATGTCCCCACCACCCTCTCTGGCTTTGACACATGCTCCAGGATGCCCATTCAAGGAAGCCCTCTTCCACCCTTCTGGACTGATGACTCTGCTGGGTACTCCTTCCCTTTTGTCCTCCTCCCCATGCCTGAGCTCGGCCACCCTGCTCTAGGCTGCCAGCCCCTGCCACCATGGGTCCCTGCCTTGCTCTGTTCAACTAACCGCTAATGGCTTTAAAACTGAATTATTCAGGAAGGAAAGGGAACAAGGAAAGGAAGAGCATTTTATTGTGGGTTTTTTCCTGATTATTTTAGTAATACAAAATGACTTGTAGACATTTGGGGAAATATAGAAGAGACAGAAAAAGATAAAAAATCCACATTAATTCTTCCACCCAGAGAAAACCAGTATTATCCATTTCCCTCCAAAAACATTGAACTTAAGCACAAACAACTCCCCCCGCCCCCAATCCCTACCTGCCAAACTACTAGTTTCCTCAGTTGAGAAAAGAATATATGCACATGCCGGGCGCAGTGGCTCACGCCTGGAATCACAGCACTTTGTGAGGCCGAGGCGGGCAAATCACAAGGTCAGGAGTTCAAGAACAGCCTGGCCAACGTGGTGAAACCTTGTCTCTACTAAAAATATAAAAATTAGCCAGGCATGGTGGCCCGCACCTGTAATTCCAGTTGCTCGGGAGTCTGAGGCATGAGAATTGCTTGAACCCAGGAGGCGGAGGTTGCAGTGAGCCAAGACTGCGCCGTTGTACTCCAGCCTGGGTGACAGAGTGAGACTCCGTCTCAAAAAAAAGAATATGTGCCCATGGTTGAAAAATTCAGAAGTAACCTTCTTCCCACTCAGATCCCCAAGACCCCTCCCCAGATGCAACTGCTGATATCTGTGTATTGTATATTCTTCCAGCTATTTTCCATGCATATGTATGTTTACTCCATTTCTCAACCAAATTGAACTTTTACCTTTCTTACATATTTCCTCTTAGTCTTTTTGCTCTGCGTGTATATAATGTAGCAAAATATGAACTTTTTCCTATGTTCTTGTATTTGGCTTCTTCCAAAGTTATCACTTGAAGTGCCTGCATAACTTTCCATCATATATGTGTTTCATTGGTTTCATCTCCTGTTGTTGGATATCTGCAGTTTTCTTACTATCATAAATGATGGGCTTTGTCTTTATTGTGCCAGGGGAGTCATGAAGCCAACCCAGTGTAGTGAAGCAGTTCAGCTGCTTTTGGTGGCTAGTAATAGAATATTGAGCTAAAACTGGCTAAAACAATAGAGGTTTATTTTTCTCAATAATAAACACTCCAAGGCCGGGCACGGTGGCTCACGCCTGTAATCCCAGCACTTTCGGCGGCTGAGGCTGGTGAATCTTCCGAGGTCAGGAGTTCAAAACCAGGCTGGCCAACATGGTGAAACACCATCTCTACCAAAATTAAAAAAAAAAAAAAAAACTTAGCCAGGCATGGTGGCTCACGCCTGTAATTCCAGATACTCAGGAGGTTGAGGCACGAAAATCACTGGAACCCGGGAGGCGGAGGTTGCAGTGTGTTGAGATCATGCCACTGTGCTCCAACCTGGGGTACAGAATGAGACTCTGTTTCAAAAAAAAACCAAAAAAACAAAAGCATTCCAGAGGTGGGTGATTAAACCAGTTTTGCCCAAGATGCCAAAATATAGAAGATAACATTTCAAAGCCAAATCACTGGGTAGAATTTCCAAAGCGCAGGTTTGAGGGCCTCTCCCAGTGTTCCTGAACTACTCACCTTCTTCGGGATTCAAAGAGGGGAGAGAAAGAGAAGATTCTTCAACTGGTTTTTTCTTCAGATTTCCTCTGAGGGGCCCGGGATGGAGTTTTACTGCCCTCAACTTAAGGCAAATCTCAGACAGAGCATTGAGACCTACTTCTTGACTGACAAGGGAGAGAGCTAACGAGACCTGTGGCTTCCAGACAGGAGGCCTGTGCTGGAGGCAGCCACTGTGATGCTGAGTGCTTCCCCGGGTCTGGCATGTAGCACTCAGGAGAGAAAAGCTGCTAGTCCAATGAGGGCAGGGGATCCCCTAAGAAGAAAGTGGGAAGTGGGCATAGCACCCCTGTGAGGCTGAGGGTGGAGACCCCAGGACAGATGCATCCCCTCAAGAGACCTCGAGGGAATCCAGGAGTCGCAATCTCCAAAGAGCCTGCAAAAGCATCCATGAGAAAAAATCATCTGGGTCACAACAGAGACCCCAGCTGGCTTTTAGCAGTACCCACTTAGGAAAGACTCTACCGGTCATCTTGCCAACACACTGGCCCTAAGGGTTCAAGCACGCCCTAGCAGCCTGGTAGGGGGTAAGTGTTGGGTGGAAGGAGAAGAAGCGTGAGACAGAAAAAGAAACGCCAGCCATGGCCTCTTTATACCTCAGGCTGTGGACCTGACACAGGCCTGGTGATGGAAGGGAGACATGATGCAAAATCATTCAGGCTTTTATTCATCTTGGACTATTCTGATTCCACAACTACAAATCTGTTTGCTAGGGAAAGTGACTTTGGATTATCTATTGCCTGAGGGTGAGGACAAAAGTCAAGGACCTGCCAGAGTTTTCATCCAGTAGGGGAATATCACCCCCTGAAGAGTTTCCAGGGCCAATGGGGAACAGCAATAGAGTTCATTTTCATCACACCTAATGAGCTGTGTGCTTGACTTTCCAGTTATAAGCAGAGCAAAAATGGTTGAAGCAACAGGTCTTTATTTTTATTTTTATTTCTTGAGACAGAGTTTTACTCTTGTCACCCAGGCTGGAGTGCAGTGGCATGATCTCAGCTCACTGCAACTTCCGTCCCGGGTTCAAGTGATTTTCCTGCCTCAGCCTCCCGAGTAGTTGGGATTACAGGTGCCCACCACCACACCTGGCTAATTTTTGTATTTTCAGTAGAGATGGGGTTTCACCATGTTGGCCAGGCTGGTCTCGAACTCCTGACCTCAGGTAATCCGCCCACCTCAGTCTCCCAAAGTGCTGGGATTACAGGTGTGAGTCACTGCACCCAGCCGAGGGTTCATTTTTCTCATCTAAAAAGAAGTTGGGAGGCAGGTGGCTGCAGGGTTGGTTTATTAGCTCAGTGAAGGCCAAGGACCATGCTCAGCCCTCCTCTTGCTCTTGCTCTACTGGCCTCCCTCTATCAATAATGTCTCCCCTCCTGGCCACAAGATGGCTGCCCTGGATCCAGACATCACATCCTCACACAGAAAAACATGCCAGACAGGCTCTCCTTCCCTTTTACAGAGAGGAAAATATCTTCTAGAAGTGCCTCCGAAAGACCAACTTTATGACTCTTGAGCTGGAACTTGGTCACATGACCATCCCTCCAACACGTTTCCTGAATGTCTCTACTTCCTTACTGCCTAAGTTTCCTCAAACCACTATAAACTAGAATCACTGCCTCCCTCCCAAGAATTGCTGCCAGTGAGGTCATCAACCACCTAATTGCCAAAACCAGTGCATGCATTTCACAGCCTGGCCTTACTTGGTTTCTAGATCAGTCAACACTGGAGACCTCTCCCTATTCTTTGAAGCTTAATCCTTCCGTAGGATGTTTTCTCTCCAGGTGTCTGTGCACCTCTCCACCACTCTTCAGGGTTCTGTAGCTCCATTATCCACCCACTCCTTCCTACACACCCTCCGTGGACCCAGATGCCACCTTTGTGGCAAATACTACTACAGTTGCATAGCTAGCACCTACCTCTTTTATAAGCAGTGGATCTATATTTTAAATTTCACCAACCTCTTTTATAAGCAGTGGATCTAGATTTAAATTTTAAATCTATATTTTAAGCAGTGGATCTATAATATTGGTTGAGGATATCCCTAGAGAACCTCAAACTAAAACACCAAGGTCATTGTTTTTTTCCCTTACACCAAGTCTGCTCTTTCTGTACTCTTTATTTCCATTAGAGGCACCACTACCACCCAAGCTAGAAATCTCAGAACCATCTTCCTCATTATCACCACCATCAACCCATGTCAATTCTACTTTCTAAATACATCTCAAAATCAAAATACATCTCAAAATCATCATCTTTCCATCTCAGCCACAGCTGCACTGGTTCTGGTTCAGTTCTTCCCAGGACAGTTCTAAAAGCCTTTTTTTTTTTTCCCCAGCTTACAAAACATAATTTTATTTAAATTTGTATAGATAAAAATCTACCAAAATTTTAACAAAAACTTTATCCAAATCCTTTCCCACAACAAAATCGAACATTATGGAAAAAAACAAATCAAAACAAAACAAAACAAACATTCAAATAAGGTTCCCATCTTTCTACCATAAACTGGTAGATTCTGGGAGGATGAGGAGTAAGAGATAAATGAAGAGAGAAGATACTGATACCCAACACAATTTGATCTTCAGTGTTGTGTCATCTTTAAATGACTTAATAACAGAGATTTCCATAAGAATCGGGATTCATTTTTGACACAAAAATGGAAGCTTCCACTCCAAAATCACAAATAAGGTTTCTGGTTTTCTTTTTAGCGTGAGGTAAATAGTATATTCAATGTTAAGGCAAATGGTAAAAACACATGAATGGTATATTAATGTAGACCTTCCATTAAATATATTTTGGAACACTCATGGATTTTTCAAACATATGTTGGAATTAGAAACCTGTAAAATCTGCTGCAGTGTGTAATAGCTATTTGCTTGAATGTCTTGGCAGTGCCTTTTTAGTAGCTAATATGTTCAGTGTAATCTTGTGCCTTTTTAGCAATTAATACATTAAATATAATCTTGTCTGAGTTTTTAAATGGTCTGTTTTTCTTTTTCATTATGTAGGATTAGATGCCCACCAAAATACTTGTAAAGGAAGCAGGACCTGATTTCAAATTCTGTCTATACACACAATATTTGGCCACATAGACCACTTCCCAGAGTCTGCAAAACACTGCCTACTGGGCAGGCTTACAATGACAGAAAAGTATGAGAATACAAGATATTATTTTTAAAAAGACTAAAATCAGATTTAGGCTGTCTACATATATTATTCCAGAAAACACAGATTTAAGATTTTTCAGTGATTCTTGCCTTCTCCCCCCTTTTCCTCCCCAATGAGATAACCATTTCTTTCACAATGATGAACCGTCCCTTTTTATGGAAAAATGGCTTTCTTTCCCCATCGGATCAGGACAAAGACATCACTTCTTGGCCACAGCCTTCTTGGCTGCATCCTCCAGGTCAATGGCTGAAGTAATGGGGAGTCCGCTGTTGTTGAGTATCTTCTGGGCCTCTTGGATGTTGGTTCCTTCAAGCCGGACCACCAGGGGCACCTTGAGTTCTAGCTCCCAGCAGGCTTTGGTGATCCCATTGGCAATGATGGCACAGTTGACGATACTGCCAAAAATATTGACAAGGATGGCTTCAACCTTAGGATTAGCTGTGAGCAATGTGAATGCTTGATATACTTGAGCTTCCTTTACACCACCTCCAAGATCCAAGAAGTTGGCTGGCTTCCCACCATTAAGGAAAATGATATCACAAGTAGCCATGGCGAGCCCAGCACCCTTCACAAAGCAGGCAATGTTCCCATCTAGTCCTATGTATTTTAGATCATATTTGGCAGCTTCATTTTCAATGGGCTCATTCTCTGATTTGTCATCCATAGCAAATATGTCTTTTTGTCGGAATTCTGCAAATTCATCAAAGTTTATCTTGGCATCAAAACAGACAACTTATCCTTCTGGAGTTTCACCAAAGGGATTCACTTCCACCTGAGTAGCACCAATTTTCAGGAAGAGATTATACAGTTTCGTAAGTTGATCTGCAGCCTGCCTTTTCAAAGGCCCAACGATGCCTAGATTTTCTGCCATCCGCTGAGCTTGGCTGGCCTTTATTCCTTCAAAAATGTCAATTTGCTCCTTAAAAATGAGCTCTGGGTTTGAAGCAGCCACCTCTTCAACGTCGACGCCCCCCTGGGGGCTGCCCACCAGCACGGGGCCATTGCAGGACCTGTCCATCAGAATTGCCAGGTAGGTTTCTCTGGAAATGTCAAAGGCTTCAGCAACCATCACCTTGTTAACTCACACCTTCTTTTGGAGTTTGTTTTGTCGCTAGATTGTACCCAATCATTTGTTTAGCCAGCTATCCCACAACCTTAGGGTCTTTTCTTAAATGAACACCTCCTTTCAAACCACTATTAAAGACACGTTTTCCTCTTCCTCCAGCTAAGATCTGGGCTTTTAAAGCAACTTCTTTTGCATTTAGTCTCTTAGCAGCCTCCAGAGCTTCATTCACAGTGTCGGCTACAAAGAATCTTTGAACTCTCACTCCGTTATTAAAGTTTCTTGCTCTGGTATTCCCGCAAGCGCAGCCATCTTCTGGAGGTTAATTGAACTGCCTGGGACCCAGCCACCAGGAAGCCGGACCGCAATGCTAGGGCTCGCAAAAGCTTTCCGGCTTGCGCTGCCACAGGAGACGCCATCTTAAACAGGAAACCCGGCACTTTAACAGCTTTTTAACTACTGCCCCTTTCCCTTTTTTCCTGCCTTGTATGAAGATGTGATGCGTGGAACTGTGGCAGCCATCTTGCAACCATGAAGTGATGAGAGTGAGAACTAAAAGCCAAGGAGTTAAGGATGGCAGAAGAAAACCGGACAGGAGCTGGGTCTCTATGACCCCTTTGAGCAGTTGAGTCAACGCCGGGAATCATCTGTCTGGAGACTGCTTGTGATGTGAAGTCATAAATGTCTTTCCTTATGCCTTTGATAATGGCTATTAGTTGCATCATAAGCCATTCCTAATTGACACAGTGAGTAGGAAGATGAAGGTAACAATGTGAACAAACTTACAACATGTTGATGTGGCACTCTTGAAGCAGCTATTTTAGTCTGAGAGGCAGTTTTGTTTGTTTGTTTGTTTGTTTTAGGTAGCTGGGGGGAAAGCCAAACTATTAAATATTTAGTTTTTAATTATTGTTACTAAGTAGTATATTCAGTAGTCATCATGCCCACATCCCTTGTCCCTTGTTTGTCTTTTTCACTTAGGCCTGCTTTTAATTTTTAATATAAAACAGTGTGTTGAGTAACTTTGTGGAGAGTGTTTTCAGATGGTCATGTCAAACATTCCCTGGGTCAAAATGACCGCAGCAAATAGGCCTCTGCCAAGTGTATGGCCTCACCTGGAGCAAAGGCATGGGAGGCAGGGATCTGTGGAGTAGGGTGAGGACACAGCAAGTTAAGATGGTGAGGGGGAGTCATGTGGGGTGGAACTCAGAGAGTCGGGGGTTGAGAGTAGAGTAGGGGCAAAATATGTGAAATGTAGGGCTTGTGAAATGTGGAAGCCCTTCTTCCCAAATGCAAATTGGGGGCACCCATTTCACTGGGGCGTTCTTGGCCTCCATCCCATCCTGCCTATTTTGTGCACCTTCAGGTGGCCTGCCCTCATCTCAGCCCCACCTGGGTGCCTGTGGGAAATGTGGTTGGCCCAATATCACACAGGAAGCATGGCCATCTCTGCTGCTGAGGTCTGAAGTCCATCCTGGGGTGGATGGACTTCAGATCCTGGTATGGTCGTCTGGTTGGAAGCAGGGACCAGGAGACTTGACTGGAAGTTTCTAGTGTCTGATGCTGGTTGCTTAGGGGAGTCACCAGACAGTCCCCATGATGCCACCTGCAGAGGAAGTAGAAAGATGAGATCCAGAGATCCAGAACAGGGAGAGAGTGGAGGACCCAGAGGCTGATGGGGACAGTGCAGAGCATCCCCATCCATATTCAGACATGCAGATGGATTGGAGTACTTGATGATAATTGCGTAGCATCCAGATTGGGAATGAAGAATTCAGCCTCCACCACAAGTGCAAAGTCCCTGGGACCAGCCGTCCAGAGTCACCCAGTTCTTAATCACTAGACCTCTAGAGATAATGGTCCCCATCCTCACACTTCACACTTCCCCAGACTGCCCCAAATGTGGCTCTTCTGATGACAGTATTCTCCAGGCTTTATGAAGCTTTACTAATTGTGGCTGGTTAGTTATTTCTGAACAAATTGTTTCCAGTCCCGGTGTTGAAGGATAGCACTTGAACAAACAGAGAAAACACTTAATAAACATTCCAAGGTCATTGGCCTTTGGAGAAAGCTTGTCTTTTGGTCATATCACTTCTTCTAATGTGGCTTTATTCCCCCTAAGAGAAGGGTGTTAGAGGACTGGGCATTTTCCCCTCTAGACATAGTCAGCAGGACAGTTCCATGAGTGTATTGATGGTTCCTGGTCATGTGCTGTGATCACCAAGGTTCAGCCAGTTTTGTGTCTGGGGAACCAGTAGGTTCCTTGGGTATAACGCTCCCCATTGCTGAGGTTATAGCAGCCTCTAGGGGTTGCCACGGGTTACTGTGCTGGCTACAGTGTCTTGGATCCCTTTAAAGTTGGAGTTCTCAGGATTTCCTACAGGTGTTCCATGGGAGCGCGGAGGGTCTGATGGCCATGGTCTGCAACTTAGGGTATCAGTTTGCCTAGACCCACCTGAGAATCACCCCCACTCTAACTGCACACACACAACATACACACATGCACATACAGTGCCTGCTCTGAAGGGGGCGTGCATTCAAGTCCTCACTCCTCTTGTTGAAGCCCCCCAATTTCCCCTAGTTCTTCCCCATGTCCCCAACCTCCTCATTCGCTGAACACAAGCATGTTTGTGTTTACACGTGGCCCTGGAGAGCTGTTGCCAAGCGGTATTTAGCATTTTCCTGAGTCTCTCAGCAGGGGCGTTCCAGGCTCTAGTTTTTATGATTTATCTCAAAGTCCAATCCAGTCTCGTCACTCTCTGCTTAAAGCTTTTGGCGATTTCCCATTTCCCCTTCTTGTGGCTTATAAGGCCCCTTTCCCATCTCCCTGCCCTCTTCAGCCTCGTCTCTCCTGACACACCATCCCCACCTGCTAGTCAGAATGAATTTCTTTTTGTACTTCAAAAGCTCTCTTCTCATTCTTGAAATTTTACAATTAATCCCATCTGGCCACAGCTCTGCGTACAGCATGGCAGTGTCTAATAATTAGTTACGAGTGTCTGCGTATCATCCAGTATTCAGCAGGGCAACTGTGACTCGCCCACTGCAAAGCTCCAATACCCACTTTGAAAGATACCAAAGAAGGTTAAGACACAGTTCCTACTTTCCTGGAATTTTACCTTCTAGTTGGGTAAGACATGAACACATGAAATGCTTAGAAAAACAAGTAAGTGTTAAAACAGAGGTTGCAAACTGGTGGACTGTGAGCTGAAGCTAGGCCTTAAAAAAAATGTGTCTTGTTTCAAAATAACAACCTTAGCCAGCTCAGTTGTCGTTTTCCAATTTTTAAAAGTCTGGTAAAATACATATAATGTTAAGTTTACTATGTCAACCATTTCTAAGTGTAAAATTCAGTGGCACTAAGTACATTCATATTGGTGTGCAGCCATCACCACCGTCTACCTCCAGAGCTTTTTCATAATTTTTTTTTTTTTTTTTTGAAACTAAGTCTCGCTCTGTCACCCAGGCTGGAGTGCAGTGGCGCGATCTCAGCTCACTGCACCTCTGCCTCCCAGGTTCAAGCAATTCTCCTGTCTCAGCTTCCCAAGTAGCTGGGACTACAGGCACCTGCCACCATGCCTAGATAATTTTTTGTATTTTTAGTAGACATGAAGTTTCACCATATTGGCCAGGCTGGTCTCAAACTCCTGATCCACCCGCCTCGGCCTCCCAAAGTACTGGGATTACAGGTGTGAGCCGCTGCACCCAGCCTAGAACATTTTTCATCTTGCAAATCTGAAACTCTGTACCCATTCATCACTAATTCCCCATCCTTGCCCCCCACCCACCTCCTGGCAACCACCATTTCACTGTCTCTGTGGTTTTGACTACCCTAAGTATTACAGGTATTGTAGCTCATACAAATGGAATCGAACAGTAATTTATCCTTCTATGACTGACTTATTTCATTTAGCAGAATGTCCTGAGGATTCCTCTGTGTTGCGTATATCAGCATGTCCCTTCTCTTAAGGCTAAATAATATTCCATCATGTGATATATATATGTGTGTGTGTCACATTTTGCTTATCTGTTCGTCTGTCAATGGACACTCGGGTTGCATCCGCATTTTAGCTCTCGTGAATAATGCTGCTATGAATATGGGTGTACAAATATATCTTCAAGACTCTGCTTTCAGTTCTTTTCAGTATATACCCAGAAGTGGAATTGCTGGATCATATGCTAATTCTATTTTTAAATGTTTGAGGAACTGCCATACCGTTTTCCACAGCAGCTGCACCATTTTCCATTCCCACCAACAGCGCTCCAATTTCTCTACATCCTCACCAACACTTATTTTCGATTTTGTTTTTGTTTTGTTTTGCTTTTTAATAGTAGCCATTGTAATGGATGTGAGGTGGTCAATACAGTTAAATTTTTAAAAAATTAGTTACCAATATCTAAAAATCAAATTTCACTTTAAAAATGTGTATTTTCAGTTTTTTTGAAAAATTGGAAAACTCTGGCTGGCCTGGCCTGTCCTCGTCCCTGGTAACACTTGGCTAGAGCTAAGTAGCAACTGCCCCTTGGCACAGGGCAGGGCCTGCAATTTCCAGCTCAGCTTGCACCTCTCCTGTAGGTTCCTGAACACAAAAAATAAAAGTAGGTGCCTCTCACCCCAGCACTGCCACTTTTCCCCATTGAACGGTCAGGAAGAGAGAATTTTCCTTGTATTCATTGATAAAATGTGGCAAAACTAACAGTAGACAGGGAGATAGGGAGTGAATGTCATTTTTGTGATAGTGTATACCGATTATGTTCAATTGGTAGATTAGTCCATTTTCACACTGCTGTGAAGAAAACATGAGACTGGGTAATTTATTTTTATTTTAAAAAGAAGTTTAACTGGATCATGGTTCTGCAGTCTGTACAGGAAGCATGACGGCGTCAGCTCCTGGGAGGCCTCAGGGAACTTACAATCATGGCAGAAGAAGAAGGGGGCAGAGTGAGGCATCTCATGTTGGGAGAAGAAGCAAGAGAGAGAGGTGGGTAGGTGCTAACCAGTCCTCGTGTAACTGGTTACACAACCAGTAAATAACCAGTTAAGAATAAGCAATTCTCATGAGAACTCTATCACGAGAACAGTGCCAAAGGGATGGTGCTTAACCCTTCATGAAGGATCCACCCTTATGATCCAATCGCCTCCCACCAGGCCCACCTCCAACTCGGGATTACAGTTGAACATGAGGTTTGGGGAAGGACACAGATCCAAACCATATCAACTGGCAATTACAGTTTCTTGTAGTCAATCACTTCACTTGTGTTAGTTCTTCCTGGCCCCTATAGGCATTTGAGTTTGTGATCCTTGGGTTAAACTCTTGGCCACTAGGTGTCTGAGACAATGGCTGCTCTGGGAGCTGGCTGATCAAAGGCAATTTGAGAAAGGAGGTAGATTTTCACCTCTGCCTTGAAGGATCATGTATTAGTTTGCTAGGGT